ATCATCTTCCAAGGCCAGTCGCTGAAGATCCGCAGGCCTCATGACTACCAGCCGCTGCCTGGCATGTCAGAGAACCCCTCGGTCTACGTGCCTGGTGAGTGAGGAGTTGGCTAGACTGCTATCTTGGGGTGGGGGCTAGAGCAGTTCATCGGCTTTGGAACTCGGGTGTCCTCCAGTGAGGCAGCATGGCCCAGGCCTCTGCTTGTGCTGTGATCGGTTGATGTATACCTTGCAAGCATTAGCCAGGACCAGATCTGCGGTGCCCTGGGCAGGGTGGGACTCGGCCTGTTCTTTTCAGTGGTGTGTGCCCTGGGGCTGGGGCGGGCGAGCACCTGTCTGGAGGTGCTCATCAGACTGCATGCAGCTCCTGGCTTGAGTTCTGGGCCATTTTCCACAGTGCTGTTAGTGTTTCTTGTGGATAGGAGCAACCGTGCGCACCCTGAAGGTGTTGTGTATCTGGGATGGGTGAGGATGGTATCTACGTGGCATGGGAGCCTTTGAGGAGGTGTGTGGTTTGCGGGGAGCAGCAGTGGGCTGCCTGGTCCCACAGGCTGAGCTCTGCTAGCACCTCTGGTAGGGATTACCTGAGGCCCCACGGCCTGGGCTTTGGAAAGCCTTGCCTCAGCCAGGTTGGACTCTTGAGAAGGTGGAGTTAGCTGGCTGATGATGTTTGGCACTAGAGGGCCAGTAGGGGAACCCAGAGCCATAGGGGAACACTTCACAGGGTGGGTGCATGGGGTCCAGAGGGAGCTGTGTCAGGGTCTGTGGGATAGGGCCAGGTTGCAGCTGTTAGTGTTGATCCACTCCGTTTTGGGAAGTTCCCATAAGCTAGATGAACTCAGCTGTGACTGTGCTGATCCAGCCTGACCTCCTGGTTCTGCTGAGGACTCCTGGGCCATCTCCCAGGTAGAGCTACCCTTTCTTGTGCCATTTCTCATAAACCCAGCGTACACGTGCAGCCTGCCACCTGCTAATGCTCAGTGTGTGCCAGCTGCTCTCCCCATTGTGTCAGGAGGCCGCCTCTGGCTTTACTGACACTTCTGTGGCACCTGGTGGCCGGCCATGGTGGTAATTCACTCTGTATGAGGGTTCATTGGCAGAGGGCTAGGTCTGTTATGTGTGTATCTAGGTTGCTTTGTCCTGCAGTACCTAATGTGATTCATGGCAGGCAGAAAGGCCCACAAATCCAACAAGGTTTATGATGTGGCCATTTACTGAGGAAGCATTCTATGCTTGTCTCATTTCACCAGGGAAACAGGTCTGAGGAGGATGGTGTATGGCTTATGGTCGTGGTGTCAGTGCCTGCCTAGCGGTCCCACCCGGCCTCTGGCCCACACAGTGTCCCATTAGAAACTGGTGCAGTCATCAGATTAGTTTGTTGCGGGCCTTTCCGTGCAGAGCCTTGTGTGAGTGAGAGAGTGAACAGTAGGTGCTACCACTCGGCAGCCTCAGGACAAGCTTGCCTGGAGATGTCCAACAGTTCCTGTGGAAGGAGAGTTGGTTACCACTTGGGCAGTAGCAGAAAGTGATCCTTCCTGTAGGCAGGTTAGGCATGTGGCCTCTTCTCTGTTAGAGCTGGCTGTGGTGCATGCCTACAATCTCCACACACTAAGGCTGAGGCAGGAGGATTGTAAGTTTGAGTCAAGGAGCTTAGTGTCTCAGAATAAGACTGGGCACGTAACTTAGTGGTAAAGTAACTCTGTGTTTGACCGTTAATACAGCCCTCACCCCTGAAAAAGTTGGTGTTCTGAGCTTCTATTCCATTTTTCCCTGTAGTCTATAGAGAGGAGAGAGAAGAGGCATTTAGTTAAAATGTATGGTTAGAAAGAAATTCCTGGACACTGATCTGATCCCCTTATCTTGATAAACACTTTATCCATATGGCATGGCCAAGTGTGTGGGGCTTTCCCACAGTGTCTGCCCTGACTGGGCCTGGTTGGCATGGAGCCGGCACTGTGCCGCCTAGATTGTGCCTGTGCCCACACCCATGGCCAGTGTGATGAGATCTGTGTTGAGCTGGCACAGGTCTCCAGTATGGTTCCTTTCCTCTGTGATGACTGCCATGCTGTCTTGAGAGCCTGGGGCTGAGAGCCACCATTGGTGGCATTGACTTGGATGCAGAGAGTCAGACTAGTTTCTGACTGTGAGTCTCAGCTTGGGGTGGCTGTCTTGGTTCCCTGCTGGGTACCTAGGAGGGGCCTCAGTCTGCAGTGGCACCTGTGGAGAGGCCTGTAGAGGTGGGCTCTGGACACTGTGTTCATAGGTGTCCAGAGCCAGGGCTGCCCACTGGCCCCGACTCCAGACCACCTTGCAGCATCCAGGTGCAGGGCTCTGCTGCTGTATGGCTCCTCAGCTGGGTGCAGCTCAGGTGCTTGGGCCAGTTGGGTTGATCGTGCACCTCTCGGGCCGTGGGGGGTTGGGGGCATGACCCGGGCCTTCACCAGTTCCTGTCTCACAAGCTGTTCCCTGGGGCTTGGTGGGATGGGATGGGATGAGCTGCCAGTGTGGCGGGACTGCCAGGAAGGGAGGCAGCTAGGGGTGCTGACACCTTCTGGGAGCTTGTGCAGTGTTAGGTAGAGGCCTGGGGCAGGCTTTGTGTCAAGTTTAATGGTGAGGGTAAGATAGGTGTCTTGGTTCACTCAGCTGAGGATCATGCTGTGACATTGCAGCCCTCAGGGACCTGCTTTCAGCCAGCAGTTACCATAGAGGTTGTCAGAGCAGCCCAGACTCCAGCAGGCTGGCTGCTCTGTGCAAGCAGGGCACACTCCCAGTGCCGTAGAGGAACTGTGGATGGGCCTGCGAGTGCAGCAGGCAGAAAATCTTGGGGCGGGGGTCAGGACCCCTCTGACCCCTGGGTTCGGATCTGAGGGCTAAAGAAGGGCCCAGGAGTCTTTGGCACCCTTCAGAGCACAGTAGACATGCTAAGTCCTCAAGGCGGCCAGTGGCGTGAGTCTGAGTGTGACTGGTTGCTCTTGGGGCCTTCTGGAGCATGCTGACAGCTTGCTGGCTGGATGGATCTGGGAGATGCTGGGTCACTGGGCCACTGCTGTGCCCCTCTAATGGTCAGACTGTGATGGGCACAAGGTGGATGTGGGCTCCTGGTGCACGTGTCCCTAGGCCTTTGGGACAAGCCGTTGTGTGGTTATTGAAGCTCTTCCTTCTCCCATAGGAGTTGTGTCTACTGTGGTCCCTGACTCTGCCCATAAGCTGTTCATTGGGGGTCTGCCTAACTACCTGAATGATGACCAGGTGAGTCCCTCCCCTCCAGGCTACACCTGCCCCTGGCCCCACAAGCCTGACTGGGTGCTGACAGCTTCTCGGCTTGCTGCAGGTAAAAGAGCTGCTGACATCCTTTGGGCCTCTCAAGGCCTTCAACCTGGTCAAGGACAGTGCCACAGGGCTCTCCAAGGGCTACGCCTTCTGTGAGTACGTGGACATCAACGTCACTGATCAGGTGAGCCTGGGGGCCTGGCTGCCTGCCACGTCTGTCCTGTCCAACCTTGCTGTTTCCAGCTGCGGTGCCCTCCTGGGATGGGGTGGGAGGTGGCCGCCCGAAGGAAGGCCCTGTGCGGCCCACTCCATACTCTTACCACCTTTGTCATCCTGATTGCCCACCTCTGCCCCGGCCTGGGGGAGGAGCTGGGCTCCTGGGCCTTGACTCCCCTCTCCTGTTCCCCTCCGTACCCCATTTGACACAGGCCATCGCAGGGCTGAATGGGATGCAGCTGGGGGACAAGAAGTTGCTGGTCCAGAGGGCGAGTGTGGGAGCCAAGAATGCCACGCTGGTGAGCCTCCCGGCACGTTACCTTCCATTGGCTAGGGGGTGCGGGTGGGGGTGGTGGGGCAGGCCTTCCCAGGATGCCTAGGGGTGTGTGTGTGTGTGTGTGTGTGTGTGTGTGTGTGTAGAGGAGCTAGTGCATTGGCGAGGGGGCGTGGGTGGGGATGGTGGGGCAGGCCTTCCCAGGATGCCTGTGTGTGTGTGTGTGTGTGTGTGTGTGTGTGTGTAGAGGAGCTAGTGCATTGGCGAGGGGGTGTGGGTAGGGATGGTGGGGCAGGCCTTCCCAGGATGCCTGTGTGTGTGTGTGTGTGTGTGTGTGTGTGTGTGTGGGTGTGTAGAGGAGCTGGTGCACTGGGCAGGCCCGAGTGGCGGGAGGCCGTTTGGAGCCCCCTGTGACAGTCCCCCTACCCTGGCCCCACAGAGCACCATCAACCAGACCCCCGTTACCCTGCAAGTGCCGGGCCTGATGAGCTCTCAGGTGCAGATGGGCGGCCACCCGACTGAGGTCCTGTGCCTCATGAACATGGTGCTGCCCGAGGAGCTGCTGGATGACGAGGAGTATGAGGAGATCGTGGAGGACGTGCGGGATGAGTGCAGCAAGTATGGGCTAGTCAAGTCCATCGAGATTCCCCGGCCTGTCGATGGTGTGGAGGTGCCCGGCTGCGGAAAGGTACCTACCCGCATGTGCCCCTGCGCCCCTGCCCTGCCCTGCCCTGCCCTGCAATGATAGGCCTGGGCTGCTGCCAGGCTTGGTTTCTGGGCAGTGTTGGTTCTGCATCTGGCTGAGCTGTTCCACAATGTGATCTGGTGTCTAAGCTCAGGAAAGTAACAGTGTGTCCAAGTTCCCCCATTGTGTGTGAGGGCTGCTCCTAGCAGGCAAGCTTGGGGTCTCCGCTGCACTGTGCCAGGCCCCCGAGAGGGGCTGTGGTGAGGCTGGGTACTGGCATTCACCTGTATGCTTGGTTTTTTTCTTCATCGTGTGGGGCCGGAAGTGCTGTTGGGAAGGGGGAGGGGAGAAGAGGAGGGACTTGCTGGGCTTCCGGGCCATTGTGCTCTGGGGAAGACTGATGAGGTCAGGGCTGAGGAGGTTTTGTGGGAAGAACAGGTAGAAGAGACCCTGGTTTCTGGGATCAGCTGATCTGATACTTCATTACGTTCTATTTTTGTTCTTAGATTTCTTATGAATCTTACAGACATACCAGACACTGATAATGGTGCATCCTGTTACCTATGTTATTGTCATTTACTTGCCTTATTTTTTTTTTTTAACATTTATTTATTTTGTGTGTGTGTATGTGTGTGTGTGTGTGGGGGGGGGGCAGCTCAGCCCACCAGGGGGCGAGGCTGGCTGGCATGTGGTGCTGGGGGATCGAACCGCGGTCCCTGTGCTTTGCCAAGCCTGTTCCAAGCAGGTGCTTTAGACCACTGAGCCATCTCTCCAGCTCCTACTTGCCTTATTCTTGCCTTGCATTTTTGTAATGCTTGAAGCTGTATTTCCCCCGAGGTACTTGGATACACTTCTGTAATTTCTCACCTACTAACATTCGGGGCCACTTTTTTTTTTTTTTTTAATGCATTTAGTATAAGGTTTACAGGGTTTTACTACACAGATCGGACTCATTTGCAGCCTCCCAAGTGCTTGGCGCACCATCAAGCCCAGTCTTAGTCTCAGAGTGCCTGGGGGCGGGACCAGCATGGCATTTTGTACCAGGGATCAAACCCCGCTGTGCTTGCCTAATAAGCAGGCACTTTAGTCTGATGAGCTATCTGACTGGACTTTTTTTTTTTTTTTTTTTTTTTTTTTGTCAGAACCAGGGATTGAATTCAGCTCTTGTGCTGTCCAGGGAAGGACTTCTTCTACTGAGCTATCCCCACCCCCCCTTTTTTTCTTCTTTCTTTTTTCTTTTTTTTTTTTTAGCTTGGGCTGGGCTGGAGCTGGTGGAAGTATCCTATCTCAGCCTCCCAAGTGCTGGGATGACAGGCCTTCTGGGCTGGATAACTGGATGCAGTACCTGCTGGTTGCTAAGAGCTACACCCTTTTGATAATCCTCAAACTGGCACTCATTGTCCCCCAGGACATGCTTGCCCCTTTTTTTAAGGCCACTGCTGTATCCTGAAATACATAATGCTTTTTTTTTGAGACAGGGTCATGCTACCCAGCTCACCCAGGCCTTGACCTCACTGTGTATCCCTGGTCTCAAGACTTTTGGCTGTTGCCCTGCCTCTGTCCCCAAGCTCACTGATCAGTTTTATCATGGATCTTTTACTTTAAAGAGGAAGTTACCACCTTTTTGCTGTCTGGGGATTGAAGCTTGGGCCTTGTGCACGGCAAGCAAGTGTTCCTCCACTGATCTGTGATGCCTCCCAGAGTGCTTGTTAAATTGCCCGGCTGGCTGGTGATGTGGAATCTTTCTGCCTCAGTCTCCTTAGTTGCTGGAATTTTTAAGAACTGAAGCTGTTGGTTAGGGTGTGTGAAATTTGCCATGGTGTGCTAAACGTGTCCACTTCCCCTAAGCTGATGGTTCACACAGCCTTGAGGCTTGAGTAGGTCAAGTTCCTTGTGTTCAGTGGCGGGTGCTGCGGCGAGGACCTGGGCGTCTGCCTGCCCGCGCCCGTGGCGATGTGCCTGGCGGGTGCCGTGGAATGGCCGAGCTGCCCCGCACTCCAGGCACCTGGGGTGCTTGTGGCTGGCGTGGGTGCCCAGGCTCACACCCCTCTCCTCCCTGCAGATCTTCGTGGAGTTCACCTCCGTGTTTGACTGCCAGAAAGCCATGCAAGGCCTGACCGGCCGCAAGTTCGCCAACAGGGTGGTTGTCACGAAGTACTGTGACCCCGACTCCTACCACCGCCGGGACTTCTGGTAGAGGCGGCGGAGGGCCCGGTGGCCACAGGAGGAGCCTCCCGCCTGCCCCACTGTTTCCCCCCTAAGATCCGGGCAGGAGTGACAGCAGCGACAGACAGCCGGCAGCGACTGGATGGCAGGGTGGGGTGGGGGGCGGGGACGGGACGCACACACAGCCCACGCGAGATACATGCACCCACAGACACGGGGACGGGGTCGGGCCGGCGGAGCGCTGCGCAGCGGTGCGCAGCGCGGGTGGGGCCTGGCCCCTCGCCACAGTGTCCCCTCCCCTTCTTCCCCGGTAGAAACGTAGCGTGTTTATATACGGCCAAACCTCGGACTTCCGCCCCGCCCGTCCCACCCCCGCCCGGTTTCCTAGGTAGTGGCCCCAAGCCCCGGCCGCCCCGCCCGCCCGCCCCACCGCGTGGCCCCGCCCCCCTGTGGCAGTTTCATATTTGCTAAGACGAATTTGCTCATTAAACATTTTGTTGTATTTTACTTTGCGGAGCTGCTTCGTGTCTGGTGCGTGTGTCCTGCCCGCCGGTTGGGGCGTGTGTGGGAGTCTGTACCGGGTGGGGGGGGCCGCTTCGGGATCCTGGCAACCTGGGAGAAGCCCGGCTCCCCAGTGTGGCACAGCCCGCTGCGCTGGCCCCTGCGGAAGTGACGTCGGAGGTCTCGTGACGTAGCTTCTTGCACCGGAAGTGGTGCTAGCGGGGTGGGTTTGGCTGGAAAGCCGGGGCTGCCGGGCGAGGCGCGGTGGGCGGGTCTTGCGGCCGCTTCCACTTCCGGTCCGTCGCCGCCTTCGGTTGCTTCCCGTTTGCTCGGCGGCTCCCCTCCCCCGCTCGGCTCTCCGCGCCCCTCTTGGGCGCCGGGGCGGCGGGGCCGTCGGCGTGCGGCCCCGTGCGTGCGCGCTTGCGGCCGTGCGCGTCTCTGCCGCCCTCAGCCCAGCGGGCGCCCCGACACCGAGGCGGAGCGGGGGCAAGGGGCTGACCGCCATGACCCCCCGAAGCCCCGCGTGAGGGGCCGAGGTGAGCGCCGGCCCGGCCTGTGCGGAGCCGGGCCCTTGGGCCTCTGCAGCGGGGCCCGGGCTCCAGCGTCGCTGGTTTTCAGCCGGGGTCGTCCTTTGTGCCTCTGCGCCCGGCCGGGCTCGCCTGGCCCGGGCCGTGTCTTGCCCCGCGGGCTGTGTCTGTCCGTGGCCGGTCCGCGCGGCGCCCGCTGTTCCTGTGGAGGGCTATCCTCGCGCGTTCCGGGTTTGTAGCCGAGGCTTTGGAGCCGGTGGCGTCCTGGGGCGCCTTCCACCCTGGCCCTGTTTCCGCATCTGCCTGTCAGGGTCTGGGTCTGTCTTCCGGGTTGCTGTCTTCCCTTCCCCCGACCCCTCTCTCTCGAGTGCGTCTGTCTCCCCCATCTTCACGTCAGGTTTCTGTCCTCATCCTTGTCGCTTCTAGTCTCCGAGTTCCTGTCCGTGAACGTGTGCTGGGTCTCTGCTCTCCACCCTTCCTCCAGGTTCTGAGGCCCTGCTGAGGTGCTGGGCTCGGGCAGGCACCCTCTGTTTCCAGAACCTCCGTTTCCTGGCCTTTGACGTGGAAGTGTCCACAGTTCTTTCCTTTGGGGCCTCTTTGCCTCGAGTTTGTGGAGTGCCTCTCGTGTCTGGCGTGGAGGGTGCAGTTGGGACTTTGGTTTTTATTATGGGTTAGAAATTTTGTCTCAAGCACTTGATAATTGGTCACTTGAATTCCTCTTGGAGAAGACCAATTTAATTTGAAACCCAGCATATCTCGGGTTTGATGTGTTTATGGCATTTTTTCCCTACCACTTGAAGTACACGGTATTAGGAGAGGGCATCTTCGGATGCCACTGTGGGAATGTTCTGCTTTGTGCTGATAAGAATAGCAGGCGGTGTTACTGAGCGCCTGCTGTCCGTGGGGCGCAGAGCCGAGCACTCTGTGTGCTGTGGTGTGTGAGCCACAAGCCTCCAGGTAGGGGCTTGCTTTCATCTCAGACTTAAGGAGGTTTGCTTTGCCGGTGTTTAATGTGGCAGCCAGGATTTGAACCTGTTCTTTTCCAGTAATGTCCCGTTTGTCTTGTTTCTTATTTCTCAGTCCCAAGGTAGTCTTTTTTTTCTTTTTTTTTTTTCTGTTGCTTCAAGGCCTGTGTCTCTCAGCGCTCATGCACTGTCTCCCCAGGTTGCTGTTGGTCTCGCTGGGCGGCCTACCCTGCCCACGTTTCTCTGTGACAGTCCTCTCCCCTTTCTCACCAGCTTGTTTTTTCATCTAGTGCATCTCGCTGGGCCTGTCTTGGGACCATGGCTGCTCTTTCTGACCTGTTGATGCCTGAGTTGAAGGCAGCGGCAGCCTCTGTCATGCACTCCCGTTTTCTAGATGTGGGTCTTGGTAAATCTCAGTAAATCTCCCTCTGAACTTCGTTGGAGAGGCCTAGGCCAGCAGTTGGATCTTCTTCACTTGTGAAGTGTGTGTCCCTGGGCAGGGCAGCGGGTAACTTTGTCTTCTTCTGCATGGGACTCTGGAAATCAGAGTCCGTGTGTGAAGTACACAGAAGGCACTAGCTGGAGGCAGGAGCCAAGGAGGGCCTCCTGTAGCCTCATGTGTTCAGGTCCCACCGTTGTTTCTTTGTTGGTGGTGTTATTGAGAGTTAGTTTAGGTTAATGTAAAAGTGTAAGTTTTGAAGAGTTTAAGTGGGCATTGGGTGGCTGCTGCCATTCTCCTACAGGGTGAGCTTGACGGAGCCCAGTGGCTGTGTACAGTGTCAAGTGCAATGGCACCGGGCACTGGCAGGGAGCTTCCCTGGGGCCATCGTGTTCCTTATCTCTGCTCCTTGCCTGTGGGTCCCAGAGTCCCACATCCCCTAGCCCCTGCCCCATTTCCCTGCCGACTCTTTCATACCTTCACTGACTGCTGTCCCTCTGTCCTTGTGCCATGAGCCCACCCCCATTCCAGAGTCTTTCTGTTGGCCTTCCTTCTTCCTCTCCTTGCCTGGCTTTTTCCAGTCAACTTCCCTTAGGGAAAATCTGAGTCCAGACAAATGGTGTTTCTGCTCTAATGGCCCCTGGGGTAGTCATAGTTAGCAGAATCCAACACAAGTTTGGAATCATGAGGTGCCAGTCTGTTTCTGAGTCGCGCAGGATGGTGAGTGTGGTGCTGGGAAGTTCCAGAGGCCTTCTCTCCCTTCAGATGTGGTGACCTACCAGCTACCAGCGCCTTGCGTGGCTGACCTCATCGAATTGTCACCTCTGCCGACACCCCGGGGGGCCTGTGCTCCGCAACTCCACCACCTGGCACCATGTCGACCTCATCACTCCGGCGCCAGATGAAGAACATCGTGCACAACTACTCAGAGGCGGAGATCAAGGTCCGTGAGGCCACGAGCAATGACCCTTGGGGTCCGTCCAGCTCCCTCATGTCAGAGATTGCCGACCTCACCTACAATGTGGTGGCCTTCTCGGAGATCATGAGTATGATCTGGAAGCGGCTCAACGACCACGGCAAGAACTGGCGGCACGTGTACAAGGTGAGCAGTGGGTGGGTGTGCCACCCAGGACATCCTGTCACATTCGGACCCCCACTCTTGTGCAGAGACTGTTGCCCTGTGCTGTTTGGGCCCCTGCACTCACTGAGTCTGAAGATGTGGGTGACACAGGTCTCTGTGTGCCTTAGGTCATTGACTGCAAGCCCTTTAGAGATGGGTGCCCAGAAGCCATTGATTATTACAAAGCACTGACACCGCAATTAACCCTGAATACCAGGGCTCTAGTTTAGAAAGACACAACTCACATGTTAACATCTTTTGTCTTTTTTTTTTTTTTTTTTTTTGTGCAGGGTCTCACTACATAGCCCACATTAGTAGTGATCCTCCTGATTTCTGCCTCCCAAGTACTAGGATTACAGGCTCGCACCACCGCGCCTGGTAACATCTTTTGTCTTAAAAGAAAATAGCTGAAATGCATGCGATAGGCTCCCACCACTGCCTCAGAACATCCGACTCTGCATGGAGTGCCTGATGCAGCCTGTTTGCTGGAGAGCGCTTTCCTGGGGACAGGATGGGCAAGAGTATGCTGGTTTGGTTTATGAGGGCAGCAGGTTCCCAAGCTGGTGTGGCATCAGGAGGGGAGTAGACCTGATTGGTTTCCAGCCTTGGAATGAGTGATGGCAGCTGGGATTTGTGGCCTTGGGCCTTACAGGTGCCTGTCTGTCTTTGCCCAGCCCAGATGGTTGATTGGTTCTCATAGCAGCCAGGCCTCTGCTCCCGGATGCTGCTGTGATCTGGAGGCCTAGCACCGTTGTGGGCACAGGAGTTGAGACATGGGCTGTGTGCTGAGGGTTGTGGTGAAACACGGGGGATGGGGAGAGCTCACTGCTTGCCAGGGGTCGGAATGCAGTGGTGACAGGGAGTGTCTCGTGGCCGTGGGCCATGGGTGTTGGATTGGCTGTGCTCAGACTGGCCTAAGGAGTGCTTCGCCTGGTGTAATTTAGACCTTGACTCTCAGAAGGAAAGTGGGGCTCCCCTCAGAACAGACACAGCCCCTTCCTGTTCCTGGCCGCAGGGCCTCCCTGTGTTGTGGCTGTCACCCACCTATCTCTCAGTGACTATTGTGTCCAGGTGCTCTGTGGCATCATACGTTCGCAGATTACCACCGTGGAGTCCTTGCATGCTTGCTGTCCTCTGGAGCTGGGGCTATGGACCAGAGGGCATGTGCGGAGGGTGTGGGTGGGCAGGGCCCAGGGTCCTTACCTGCCAGGCTATTGTGGGCCTTACAGTGTGCGCCAAAGGCAAGGGGCCATGTGGGGCTTCTTGTGTGGGCTTCTTGTGTGGCACACACCCTCTCGGCTCACCCTCTTCCTGCTCTGCTGACAGTTGTTGGGGGCCTGGATGGGCTTGGTGGCCGTTACTCAGCCGGTGGCCGACTGGCTTCTGTACTGCACGGTTCTGGCAGGCCCCACTCATCCGTTTCCACCCTGGGGCTCTGGAGGGCCCGTTCTCCCTGCTCCCTGTGCTGGCTGATCTTGGAGGCTGCTTGCCAAGGTGTGGTGCCCCTCTGCTGCGAAAGGGGAGCCTGCACTGAGAGTGGGGCACCTCTTGCAAGCAGGGTCGGAGGCTGAGGCTTTTGGCTACCATCAGACGCAGCAAGGCTGAGCAGCAGCGCAGCTGTAGTGGGTGCCGGTCACTCTGTAGAAGGGCTGACTGCCAGTAGGCCTGCTGACAGCTGGGGAGCCTGGGACTGGGACAGCAGGCAGGGCAGAGGGTCCTGCAGGGCCTGCAGGGCGTTGAGCTGCCTGCAGACAGGGTGGGAGTCCCAAGAGTGGTGCACCGCAGGGGGTGGCAGCGTGGCAGGGCTCTGATACCAGGTGGGCCTGGGCTGCTTCAAGGTACTGAGGAGTCTGCCAGGCTGCATCTCGTGTCCTGTGTGTCCCTGGCTTCCTGTGCATTGGCCCTGTATGGTGGTGCAAGGATCCAGCTCCGTGCAGCCTGGAGGCCTTGGCACAGGGAGGGCCAGATGGGGCCCAAGGGAACCCAGGTGCTGGGAAGCTAGGGCTGTGCGGAGACCGAGGCCTCAGTCAGGGGGGCCTCCTGGAAGAGGCTGCCTGCTCTCCTGGGCTCTGGCTGACTCCTAGCCCAGTGCCTATAAGCAAATTTGAGAACATATGTTTTTTGAGACAGAATTTGTCTTCATGAAAACCTGTGCTTTCGGGGCTGGTGAGATGGCTCAGTGGCGTAAAGCACCTACTTAGAACAAGCTTAGCAAAGCCCTGGGACTGTGGTTCAATCCCCCAGCACCACATGCCAGCCAGCCCTGCCCCCTGGTGGGCTGAGCTGGTCACACACACACACACACACACACACACACACACAAATAAATAAAATTTAAAAAAAAAAAAAACAAAAAACCAAAAAACAAACCTGTGCTTTCCAGGCACAGTCCTGTGAGCGCTGAGGCACTCATTGCATAGCAGCATCTTGACTCCAGCAAAGGACCAGGAGTACCTGCCGCCCTTCCTGACCCTGCACAGGGCTGTCCCTGTGCCCTGCTCACCGCAGGCTGAACCTGGCATTGGGCGAGGAAGCCTGCCCCAGGCCTCAGGGCCACCGCTGTTGGAGATAGCACTGGACAGGGCTGTAGCGGCTGGCTGTCTGAGCTTCACAGCTTCTCATCCTGTCTTCAGAGTGCCTCACCAAGGACAAGCTTTTCCTCCTTTCTCATGACTGTCCAGGGGAGGAATGGCTGTGGGTCGCTCTGGGCTGCCTGCTCCTGCAGTGGAGTGCAGCAGAGCCCCAGGCTCCCTCAGACCTTGGGTAGTCACTCAGTTTCTCCCAGGACTGCAGAGTCTGCTGTTATCTTAAAGCAGAGGTCAGCAGACTACAGGCCATGGGCCAGCCCCGTGCTTTGCCTGTTTGTGTAAATAAAGTTTTATTGGAATACAGCCAGGTTGAACAGTCAAGGCAGAGACTGGCCTGAAAATCCAAAATATTTATCACGTGGCGCATCACGGAAAGTTTGCTGTCCTGTGACTTTCCAGAACATCCTTGACAAGGCTGCAGAATGAATGGGAACCACTGGTTTGTCTACTTGCCCAGTTATCTTTTGAAATAAGGGCTTGGGTCTTTATTGAGGTGTGACCCACCAGGAAGCCTCACGGCATGGCCAGGGTGCCCCTTCAAGCCCTTGCCCCAAATGTGTGTGGGGTGCCCCGGGGACATCCTTCTCTACGCAGACCTGGGTGTTGGGGGAGCTGAATTCGCGTGGCGCTCCTGGTGGGCTTTGGCTCTGGCTGCTCTGGTCTCATTGTGCATGGCCCTGGGTGGCACAGGTATCTATCTTCTTGCTGCGTTAACCATAGCTTGTGCTGCGTACGCTGACTGCAGATTCCCTCACCTGTGGATGCTGTGGGGCTATTTCCAGGCTCGTTTTAATTGCAATTCCAAAGTCCAGAGCACTCTGAGAATGAAACCATTTCATAATCTATCCAACATCAAGCCCACGCATGGCACTGGGGTCATGGTGCAGTCTGTCCTGCTTGAGTGGTATTGGCCCGGGTTTCCCCTGTACCACCTTTCACATGGGGCTTGCCTCTGCCTCTGCCAGGGTGGGTGTGACCTACATGGGAATGGCTTTGCTTTCTTTCTCTCTCTTTTTTTTTTTTTTTTTTTGTGGAACTGTGGATTGAACTCAGGCCCTTGTACTTGCCAGGAAAGCAGTTATTCTGCTGAGCCATCTTCCCAGCCCCTGGCCTTGCTTTCTCTGTCACCTCCTTTGTGGAAACCCTTTCAGGACCAGTTCAAGTCCAGCCCCAGGCTCCTGATGGAGGGTTTTGGACACAGAGCAGAGCCTTGGGGAGTCTGATCCCATGGGAGCCTGCTTCCTATGTGGGGTGGAGCTCACTGTCCAGCCCCAGCCCCAGCCCCAGCCTCCCTGTCCTGCTTTGCTTTCCCCTTGTGAGGGCCTAGGCATGTTGATTCCAGCCTGTTGGACAGGGACGTTTCCTGACCCAGCAGTGCTCCCTCTGCTGGACCTCCTGCTCATGGACCCTGGCTCCGGGGGGCACCAGGTGCCTCGATGCCCCTGCTGTGCTCTGCCTCATCACCCTGGGACTGTCGGGTCTCTGTGAGCTGTGACTCAGGAGTGAGGAGATGTTTTAGACTTGGGGAACACAGAAGGCGCGACTGGACCAGAGTTCATTGTGGCCGTGGCACTCTGGGTTTTGTCCACAGGGCACGGGCAGGCTTGGTGCCAGTTGCTCTGGCCTGGCGATCTGCCGAGGTAGCAGAGCTCCCGTGCTGGCTGTCTACCCTCTCAGAGTGACGGTCCAGTCGCATCTGGGCCACTAGCTGTGCCGCACCTGTACCTCTGTTGACATGCCCACTTAGTCGCCTGCCAGCTTGCGCCTGGGCCTGGCACCTGTGCTCCCTGTGTTTCTGAGGGTCTCCTGTTCTGGGTCTTTCATTCTCGTCTGAGGGGTGCGCCCTGTGTAGCCATCCTCGTCAGTGTCTCTGAGCACCTTGTGGATGTGCCGGATGGAGCTCTGTGCAGGATGGAGTGGCTGGTGGCTGTGAACCCTGATAGCTGCCAAGGCAGCGAGTAATGAGTGTGTCCCCGCCCACCGCAGGCCATGACACTGATGGAGTACCTCATCAAAACGGGCTCGGAGCGTGTGTCGCAGCAGTGCAAAGAGAACATGTATGCTGTGCAGACGTTGAAGGACTTCCAGTACGTGGACCGTGACGGCAAGGACCAGGGCGTGAATGTGCGTGAGAAGGCCAAGCAGCTGGTGGCCCTGCTGCGGGATGAGGACCGGCTTCGGGAAGAGCGAGCGCACGCGCTCAAAACAAAGGAGAAGCTGGCCCAGACGGCCACAGGTGAGACCTGCCCCTCCGCTGCAGACTCCCTGCCAGGCCTGCGGTGGGGCCTCCCTTGAAACTGTGAGCTTCTCAATGCACCCGGGCTGTGGCTGGGGGAGCCACGGGTAGGTGTCCTGCCTGAGATCCAGGGCAGCTGCCATGGAGCGCCCAGGGAGGGGCCTGTGGAGAGAGGCTGGGCATGGCCCTTGGGTTTGGTTTTTAAGGGCTGTTGATGTTCTCAGGGCTTGGGGATGGCGACCTGGGTTTAAAAAGAGCCTTGGTAGAGTGAGGGGAGCTGCAGGGTTGGCCTGGGATGCGATCAGGCAGCAGTGGGGGCCGTGCCGCTAGTGGCTCTGCCTGAGACCAGCTGCTTCTGTGGGGCACTTCAGGGGCACTGCCAGCACCCACCTGGTGCGTGGACCCAGTGGTGTGGTGTTTCCGGGCTCTGCTCAGGGTCTGGGGAGCTGTTGTGTTGGCAGGCAGCCCCGGCTGTGCCTGTGCGCCCAGCGCCCATGCTCCGTGCAGCCCTGACCTGAGCCCTGTGTGCTTCACAGACTTAGGGCACTCCTGTTCTCCGTCTTCCCCAACTGTTTCATATGTAAGCACAGGGCCTTGGCCATAGGCTGTGGTCTGCTGACCCCTGTCCTAGAGCAAGCTGCGAGGAGCCACGGGAGTCCACAGGGACTGGGATGGGGACAGGGTTGGCTCAGTCAGGGCCTCAAAGTGCACTTGAGGGGACATTGCCTGGTCTGGCCCAGTCCTCGCCTGATGAGGCATAGGTGGGACCTGGGGGTAGGTGGAGACGGTGTGAGCACAGCTGGCTTAGGCACGATGGGCGGGCCTGCTGGAGGGGCCGGGGCCGGCAGTGCGGGTGTCCCGTGGGTGGGGGGCTGCCCAGGTGCTGACTGCAGAGGCAGGGGCCAGCCTTTCTGGGTGCCCTGGGCCTCTCCCTCAGCCTGGCTGTCAGGGGTGTGCTGTCCCTTTTCTACTGCTGGACCTGAGGGGCTCTTCGTGCACCATGTCCTTTTCCTGGTGGAGCCCTAGTTCCACAATGCAGACAGATGCTGTGCTCTTCCCCCTGCTAGAGCCTGGGCCTCCTGGACCCTCGGGGAGTTTTCACTGCCTGGGTGCCCCACAAGGAAGGGCCAGGGTGCATGCCGTGCAGACAGAGGCCCCTCCTGCCCTCCCGGCTGGGGCTGGCCTTCGCCCGGCAGCAGGACCCAGCCCTGCCTAGACCTGGCCTAGTGCACCCCGATTTCTGCTCACGGGTTCCCTTTGCCCCCAGCCTCCTCTGCAGCCGTAGGTTCGGGGCCCCCACCTGAGGCGGAGCAGGCATGGCCGCAGAGCAGTGGGGAGGAGGAGCTGCAGCTGCAGCTGGCCTTGGCCATGAGCAAGGAGGAGGCCGACCAGGTAGGCCTGGCGCAGGCTAAGTGCACTCCTGCCTCCAGTCTCGTCTGCCACTCGTCTCCATCTCCACCTCTCTTCATGCCACCTCCTGGCCCTTCTCTGCCAGTCCCTCCCTGTGGGCACTGCACCCCTCTTTCTTGGCTCCTGTGGTGCACCCCCTCTTGCTCTTGCCTGCCTCTCTGACTGGGGCACTGGCTCACCCTCTCCCGCCCCTCACACTCTCTCCCCCCAGCCGCCGTCCTGCGGCCCCGAGGATGACGTCCAGCTCCAGCTGGCCCTTAGTTTGAGTCGAGAGGAGCACGATAAGGTCAGCGTGGCCTTCCCACTGCCCTGGGCTCCATCCCCTCCTACCCGCAGCAGCCACAGGATCCCGGGCGCGGGAGGCTGGAGTCACGCCTGCCCTCACACTCCTGTGCCCACCCCATGCCTTGCCTGCCTCCCAGCCTAGCCCTCGGCATTCCCGTCTCGTTTGTACTGGTTCATACTTCACTGGGTGTTGTCACCATGGGGGCGGCCGTGATGGCGCTGTGCTCAACCCTGTGCTCTGCCTTTGGCCTCAAGGAGGAGCGGATCCGGCGGGGCGATGACCTGAGGCTGCAGATGGCCATCGAGGAGAGCAAGCGGGAGACGGGGGGCAAGGAGGAGGTGAGTGGGCTGCTGGCTGCGCGCTGGTTTCCACCCATCCCGGCACGTGCTCCCTCGCCCCGGTCGCTTGGCCTGGACTGGGCTGACTGTTGGCTTAGCCCCCTGGGGGCTCTGTGTGTCTCCTGAGCACGCAGGCCGGAAGCTGGCGGCCTGGCAACGCTGGGGGCCACAGCTATTGACCACAGGGGCTGGCTTGTTCCACTTGTAATTTGTGGTACTAGAGATGGAGTCTCGAGCTTTCACCTTGAGATACATTCATAGCTCTTCTTCGGTTTTTGTTTTGAGACTGGATCTAAGTTACGCAGGTGTGGCTTGAACTTTGGTCTTCCTACCTCGCTTTCTGAGTCCTGGAGTTGTAGACAGGCCTGTGCTGCCGTCACACTGGCCTGGCAGCAGGGACTTCTGTCAGTGGGCGGTAGCCCTGCGGCTCCTGGGCCGGCTGTGGCTCTGCCTCCTGGTGCTGACGGCCAAGCTTAGGGACAGGACTGTGTGTGACGTCTGTTCTATGATGTGTGTGATGGTCTCTGGCCACGGTAGCTGACTGGTGCGCCCTGGGTAGCCTGCTGGGGCTGGGATTTAGGGGGGCAGGGCCGGCCAAGGAGCCTGTGGCAAGCGGTGGATGAGATGGTGTGGAGGTCAGGGCTGCCACGGGTCTGGGCCGGTGGCTTGGAGTTCACTGGAACTGGGTAGGGGTGCAGGGCTGGGCAGGATGCAAGGCCTGGCAGTTGGCACCTAGCCCTGACCCACCCCTCTCCCCCACAGTCCTCCCTGATGGACCTTGCTGATGTCTTCACGGCCCCAGCTCCAGCACCAGCTTCGGACCCCTGGGCAGGCCCGGCACCATCAGCCGTTGCTGTCCCTGTGGCTGCACCTGCCTCAGATCCCTGGGGCGGCCCCACTGTCCCTTCAGCTGCTGACCCCTGGGGTGGTCCAGCCCCCACACCAGCCTCAGGGGACCCCTGGAGGCCTGCTGCCCCTGCGGGGTCCTCAGCAGACCCATGGGGTGGGGCCCCAGCCCCCGCAGCTGGAGAGGGGCCCCCGGCGGACCCATGGGGAGGCTCTGAGGGTGCGTCCCCTGTCCTCAGCAGGGCAGCATGGTGGGGTCACCCATTACTGGCTGAGGGGTGGGGATGGGTGGGTCACAGTGGGGGATAGCCACAGGTTTGGGGGCCATGGGCCATGACAGCCTGAGCAGAAGTGACTGCTGACCCCTTACACCACCTTCCTCACGCAGGGGTGGCCCCTGTCAGTGGACCACCAGCCTCGGATCCTTGGGCCCCAGCCCCGGCCTTCTCAGACCCCTGGGGAGGATCCCCTGCCAAGCCTAGCACCAATGGCACTGCAGGTACAGACAGCAGCAGAAGGCTGGGCCGCTGGCTCCTGGGTGTTGAGGGTGGAGGGCTGCTGGCCCAGCCAGCACTGGGTGGGCACTGAGTAGGCACCTTCTCCCACAGTGGTTGCAGGCTTTGACACTGAGCCTGATGAATTCTCAGACTTTGACCGGCTCCGCACGGCCCTCCCAGCTTCGGGGAGCAGCACAGGTAAACTGCAGCCCTGCCCCTAGGGCTGCCCTAGGGTCCTTCTGTGTGTGGGGGGGGGAGGGGGAGGGGATGGAGTGTACAACCTCCAGGGAGGCAGGATGGAGTGCCTCAGTGTGGGGCAGCTCCTGGGAGGCCGAGTGACCACCCATCCATGACCACCACATGCCTGGCTTTGGGTCTCTTCTGGTGGGAGGGAACTAGGGGTAGCCCAGCGCTGCTTCCTGCCCTTGGCCACTCAGTTCCCCCTGTGCCCCTTGGCACCACATGGCTGTGCTCTGGCTGCTTCTGAGCTTTGACAGCCAGCTGGAGTGCTGGCGGCTGTATAGGTGTGGTGCTGCCTGCGGGGGCCCACACCCTGCGCTCTGCACTTCTGCTCCCACAGCTTAGCCGGCCCTCGGCCCTGCGCTGTTCCACAGCCTCTCCTACTGATGTTTTTTAGCCCTAGGCCTCTCCCACATGCTAATCAGTTAGAGCCCACCCTGCAGATCCCGCAGGAACCTAGGTCTGCAGCTGCGTCCCCCTGTAGCCCCTGGGGACCTCGTGCAGTGAGCTGCTGGGGACTGCAGGTGTCTCAGTCATCACTTGGAGCCAGGCCCTCCTGCACTGTGCCCACAGCCTGGCATCAGCCGTGCCTGCTCGTGCCCCTGTGCCTGGCTGCCCTTTCTGACTCCCATGCCCTCCTGCTGCTTCAGGTGAGCTGGAACTGCTAGCAGGAGAGGTGCCTGCCTGCAGCCCGGGCACCTTTGACATGAGTGGGGTTGGGGGCTCCCTGGTTGAGGCCATGGGGAGCCCCCCACCTGCAGCTACCCCGGCCCCCACGCCCCCCACACGGAAGACCCCAGAGTCCTTCCTGGGCCCCAACGCAGCCCTCGTGGACTTGGACTCACTGGTGAGCCGGCCGGGCCCCACAGCGCCAGGAGCCAAGGCCTCGAACCCCTTCCTGCCGAGTGGTGAGCTGGGAGCAGCCCCCCACTTCCCTGTGCATCCCACTGGGACATGTACTCACTGCTGTCCTCTTTTCCTACAGGAGCCCCGGGCGCTGGACCCTCCATCACCAACCCCTTCCAGCCTGCACCCCCGGCCACACTCACCCTGAATCAGCTCCGCCTCAGCCCTGTGCCCCCCATGCCTGGGGCTCCACCCACCTACATCTCTCCACTAGGAGGGGGCCCTGGCCTGCCACCCATGATGCCCCCTGGTCCCCCGGCGCCCAACACTAATCCCTTTCTCCTATAATGGGAGTGAGGGCCTGGCCCGGGGCGTGTCTGCCCGCATGTGAATCGGTCATCCAGCTGTCCCTCTGGGCCCACTCACACTACGCCCTCCCCACACCCACCCTGCCCTGAGAGACTGGACATGGGGGCAGCCAGGAGGACCCCTGTCCGAGGCATTACAAGGGGGAGGACAGTCCGAGTCCCCCACCAACTCCTCCCACCGACTGCCCCCCAATCAGTGTTTGAGCCTCGTTTCCTTCACACCCCTTGGTGAATCCTTGGTGATGATTTTGGCGACTTCGGGAATAAATGACAATTCTCGTGGGGGTGGCTCCACAAATGTGTCCCTCAGAAGCTGACTGTCCTCTGGAGGCTGTGATGCCGGTCCCTGGCAGCCCAGGGAGTTCTTGAGGCTGAGGTAGCCGGAGGGGTCCAGAGTGGGCGCAGAGCGGCCGAGGAGACAGGGCCGCCCTGGTCAGTGCAGCAGCATCATACTTCGGTGCACAAAGGCTCCGCCTACAAACCCAGTCACGCACAGGAGCCTGGGCTGGGGCCGCAGCGTGGTTACGGCAGAGAGCTCGGTCAGCATCGCAGCCCGCTGCCAACAGGGCGGTGTTCTTTCCATTTCTAGACTTTTATCATGTGAGTCGATACTGCTTTTCTCCTGCTCTCACCAACACTCTGCCCTTTGATTTTCTGGACTCCTGCGCTTGTTTCTCTTTCCCTGAAACGCACTGACCCTCCATCAGGGCAATACCTAGCTATCTAGTCTCTTGCTGTGATGGCGCAATGTGAGAGGAGATTGTACATGGAGGGGAGAACTGCTTAGCTGAAGGAGTGAGGACCCGATGAGTTTGGGAATTCTCAGCTTCGTCAATGTCAAAGGGACCATTTTTAGTGAAGAGCTGAGAACCCCCACGAGATCCAGATAGTCCAGCGAAGGACCCTGTCACGTGAGCGGGTGTTCCTCGGAGGGCTCCAGGACGACCGAGGCCCTTTAGGACTCTTAGGGCCCTGTTACTCCGTGTCTCTTTTATCTTTTATTTCAAACGATCTTGGGTATGGCTTTGTTTCATTAAGTGAAAGCTCA